ACATTTGCTTACTAATTTAAAAGTTATAGCATGAAAACTATAACAAGCACAAAAGGATTATAAGGTTGGTCCCAGGGATATTTTCTCAGGTTTGTTACATTTTTCTGTTTCCCCAATGTCATATGATCCTATCCCTGAAAAGATGCATGCTACCCCATCATCTAATTATTTTGTCTTCCTTCCTTCTCCTGAATTTAGATTATATGCTGTAAATTTTATTTCTCAATTGGTGGTTGTGCCAGCATGCCTCTTCATCCACCATGGGCTTCTGATAATTATGAATTGGTTTACTTATTAAGCCTTTGATCTCTTTCTTGATTTCCAGCAGTTGGAGTCATTTTTGCCTTTGTGGTTGGTGGATCTTGTGAATACTGAACATTTATCACAAACTTAATTTTCCTGCATTTGTCTTCACACACATACCTTCCTGGCCTGTGGATAGCCCACTTTTCTTCACAGGTTTCCTTTTGGAGATTTTCCTGAATCTTTGGAGTCACTTATGGAATCCACAAGACAACAATCAACCCTTTCTTCCTTGGTTGCTCGTTTGTCTGAGCCTGCTCCCGTACCTTACTCTATATCTATTTCCTGTCCTTCACCCTCCCAGCCTTTGCCTGTTCCTTACTCCAAAGGTCCGTTGGTCCATACTTTTTGCCATCTGGTGACTATCCAGTGGCATTTGGCCCAGTAGGGGCACATTTGTCTGCTTTGTTCACCTGTGGCGGGTGTTTACTCCTGACCCATGGGTGCTCAGGAGTTTGTCAGACAGACTTTTCTTCCTTTCTTTTCCCCTCCTCCTTTGTCTTTGGTTCCAATATCCTTCCTGTTAACTCAGAATCCCACTATTCGTCAGCATCTTTCTGAGGCAATTCAGACTCTTCTCTTATAGCATGCTATTAAGACTGTCAGCCAGCTTTCCCCAGGTTTTTACTCCAGGCTTTTTATCTTCCCCAAGAAGACTGGGAAATGATGTCCTGTGATCACTCTGTCCCACCTAAGCCATTTTCTGGATCTTCTTCACTTTACCATGGAATCTTTTCTCACCCTTCAGTGGGATTTTTCTCCAGGCCTGTGGATTACCAAAATGGACGTTGCAGATGCTTGCCTACATATTCTCATTTCTCAACAGTCCCGAATGGAGTTGTATTTCAGTTTCATGTTTTACCTTTCAGGCTTGCTTCAGAACTGTGTGTTTTGTCGAGTGGTCAAATCCTTTGTCCAACTTGTGCATCCTTGAAGGTTGGGTTTCCACCACTATGGACGAATGGCTTCTGTTAGCTCCTTCCAAAACTGGTGTTGTCTCAAAACACTCATCTGCTGTTGACAGAAGCAGCTTGTGTTGGTTGGATTCTCAAGATGGAGAAGTCTTTCCTGGTTCTTGACAAATATCATGTCCTCTTGGGTGTGTTTTTCAACACTTACCTCAGTTAGTCCCCACCTTATTCACTTTGTCTGCATTCATTGGAGCTTTCATTTCTCCACTTGTGCAGTCCACCTCCATGCAGTGGGACCTGGAGGTTGATGATGTCATCAATGCACTCCAGCTTCTATGTAGTTCTATCCAGGGCATGATGTTGCTCATATATTATAAGTGATGGTTAGGTAGAATCCAATAGAGGGAGTCACATGCATCAAGAGGGTATGTCACACTCTGACTGGTGAATGTTGCATGAAAATTTACATGCAAAGATAAACCATGTTGATCAAGGGGTTGTGGGAAGTTTCAAGGCTTATAGCATGCAAAACAATTTTACATTTAGAGGGCAGCACTGAACCAGAATAGGTATTATGTGAGAAGTGGTAATTACCTGCTGGAAATATATTTTCAGTGTAGGAGAATATTAACTTTCATAAACTACTAGAATGTGATGTTCAAATAATTGAATTGAGTTAATAACATTATAAAAGAATACAAGCTATAAAACTTAAGGAAATAATCAAATCAAATAAATTGTCAAGCCAGCAAAAGAAAAAAAAATTGTATTGAGGTATAAAATACTAGCTCAGTTATTTTGCTATGATATTTGTGATGAGTGATAAATTTATCTCAAATTTTAATATCTTTATCTTTCTAAGTTTAAAAAAATGTATATTCAAAGGATCTTAAAATATAAAATTTTACTAGTTATGCCCTGGCTTGTCTTATTGTGACACATTTTGCTAGGCTTAAAAAGCCTCATTTTTTCTTAAACTTAAGTTTTCTACACCACTGAATTAAAAGTCATGCCACTGGTATTTCTAGGCCTTAAAGTTTATTAAGATATTACAGATTTCTTTTCACCAAAGGTAAAATTGAGAATTTCATATGTGGTGTAGAGTACTAATCTGTTCTTTCATAATATTATAAGAGAGAGAAAAAATCTGTTTGCAAATACATACCAACTGATTGTAAGTTTTACATAAACATATACACATACACTATTAGAATATGCACATACACAATTGAAATCAGATCTTCAAAGAACAAATGTAGAGATTCAGTATGATTTATTAAAACAATTTTGAAGCCTCATCACATCATTGCACACCATTTTGCCAATGTCAGTCTTAATATATATGATGACCGTGCATCTTGACACTAGCCCTGCAGAAGATTTTCAATTGCAAATGCTTTTGTTGTAAAGATAAAACATCCAAACCACACCAAACCTTTTTGCTGGCTTTCCATAATGCATCTAGTGTATAAAGATAAGTTTCCAGTCTGATCTTGCACAAACCTGTAGGCAATGCATCTGGTGACTTGACTTGTATGTCTTCATATGGAATGTCATCAATACCCATTTCATTCTCCAGTTGTTTGAGGTATGCAGTAGCTGAATGGATATGTTTTCCAACAGATTTGCATCACTTTTCCAGATGAAGAATCTAAGTTATTTCTTTATTATGTTGCATACTGTTGTCTGGGATATGTAGATAGCCTTAGCCATTGACCTTTGTGTTCATGAGGCCTTGCTTGTTACAAGACACCACTTATTGCTTACCATGGCTAAGGTATGATTTGTTGCAGATCTTTTTAAGGATATTCCAGATGCCCCAGGCTGATCAACTTACTTTTGTTTTCCGAGAATTTTAAGCACAAAGTGATCAATCAGTTTTCAGTGGCATCATACTACCTATAAAATGTCATACATTGTCAAAATGTAGTTCTGATGCATAATATTACAACACAGCTCTATAGTAGCTGTGGTTGTCACATGACTTTCATATTTAAAGTTGTTCTAAAATAGTATACTTTATCCTCAATATAATAGCACTATTGGCTAAACTAAGATTCACAAAAAGTCATGAACAACATGTAAAAATAATCTAACTTTGACAAGGCCACACAATTCTAATATTGAAAAAAATAATCTGCTTATATACAAATACTTGCATGATATCTGTGTGTCAATAGGTAGAACAGGTATCATAGGAATGATCAGGAATCACGCCTAACTTTTTGTTTTAGGGAGCCACCCCCTCCCCCCCAAAAAACTCCAAAAACATGTAGTTTTATGAACCAATCCTATAGCTGATTGTAAAATGTACTGTACAGTGGTAGTTATCAGAAAAATCAGTGAATTAAATAGCAGATGTTACGTGAATTTAAACTAAAGATATCATCATATCTCAAATGTTGTTGTTGTGAACTCGTATTTCATGCAAAAAAAACAAATCAAACCATTTCATTTTGTTTTCAGACCACTTAAATGATTATTATCTCTGTATAAAAGGCTAATGTCTATCTTCTTCCACAGTGCAAGTTTGATTTGGATGAAACTTCAAAATGATTTTTGAACATCATAAGGGGAAGTTCCTAACAAAGTATTACAGTTTGGTATCTTATAATAAAAAAAAAATATTTAGTGCATGTGGGGCCCGTGCATACTCAAGGGCCCATAAAAAATGTCCCAACTTTAAACTCAACTTTTTAAAAATTTGCATACTCGTAAGCTAGAAATCCATAGACCAGAAAAACTAACTCGAAATTAGTCTACAAGCCAAGCCAAGTTCAAAATGGAAAATAACATAACTTTGGACTGAATAAAGGAATTTCCTTCAAACATAGTTGTAGCAATAGAACATTCAAAAAATGCTGGTGATGCTAATGTAACTGACAGTAAAAACAAAGATTTTCGAGTTAAAGTCAAAGACAAAAATATCGTATTAAAGAGAGATTTGTGCTGCGAGTGCTTTCCAGTGTACCGTCCAAAATTCCATCATAACTTCCGTCAAGTGCCAAATATTCTAAATTTAGAACACTGCAATGTCCTTCCTGCTAAGTCTCGTGTAATGTGCAGTTCTGCATCTGGGACCCATGCGCCAGAGCCCAGTCGCTACATACTTCGGTGTTGTTAAGTGTTCAATGCAAATAAATGTAAGTAATTGTTTAATCATCGATTGTTCTTAATTACATTTATATTAGGTTATTTCCTTAGTAGCAATGTAGCTTTCTTTTAATGTTGCAAATGGCCTAAAGACATAAAAACCAAGGTTTTAACTTTTCTGATCAGCCTACTGGCTTACGCTTAGGCCTAGTATAACATCAATATTAAGCTGAGCGTCAAGGCTGAACTTCATATCAAAAGAATGATTTGTTTTTTGTTAAATAATGCAGTATCTTATTGTTATCACTTATCAATATCTTATTAATTGTATCAATATTAAAGTTTTAATTTAAATTAAGTGCAACTAAAACAACATAACTTTGTACTTAACTTAGTTTAACCTAACTGAATTTTGTAAATTACTCTTTATCATCTCCTGTTGATTCGTGACTCTTCCAAATCATTAATAATCAATGGATGTCGATCAAATTGAAGCAAAACAGAAATTTTTAAATTAAAATATGTATACAAAAATTTAATATCTAAAATAAAAATAGTAGAAAAATAAATTTAGTTTCATAACTGTTAACTGAATTGATAAGGAATAAATGATTATAGTATAGCTATACTCTTTTGTAGATACTCTAAAAAAAATTTCTTTTTTCCAGATTTTTACAATAGAGTTACTACTGAATATTAGTTGAAGATTTCTCAGCATACTTCATCATTTTCTTTACAAATATTCATGAAAAATAATTCCTGGTGTTTTATAATTTTTTTAATAATAAAATCTTAAATTACTATAAAAGTTTATATCTGAAAAAAATCAGGATTAGTACCCAACAACCCAAACCCAAAAACTCGAGTATTCATTTTTTGCATAAATGTTTTTTTATTTGCTTTATACATCCTTAGAATAGATACGTGGGTTATTAAGTTATAATAAATGCTTTAGCAGTGTAATAGCTAATGTTTTGTGCATTAAAAGGAAAAATACACAAGTACCTATAATCTGTATACTAACAAGGCACTCTCACAGGTAGTCATCATGAACAGGAGTAGTAAAAATTCAGAAATGTGGAGATTTTTTGTCCCAAAAATTTTCAAAAAATTGTCAAAAAATCCAAACAAAAACCCACTGAAATATTAGGTAGGTTTTTGGTCTTAGTTGTTAACATTTTGTTCATTCCTTACAGAATTTCCGTTATGTCATCTTACCAGCACAAATCCGGTGCACAAAAGAGGCGTGAACGGGAGGCTCGGCAAGAAAGGGAGAAGGAAATGATCCGTGATTGTCAGACGTTATTTGAGGTTGGCTTCCAGCACGATCAGCAGCATACAGATCCAGTACATAGGCCTACCTTAGCAGGCTCAGTTCTGGAGATTATGATCATGACAGTAGGCTTGACATAGAAGATCATCATGAATTGCCAACTAGGCCAGAAACACAGACAGAAGCAGAGATGGCCCAAGAAGGCCACAAGAGCCAGCATTCAACAGAAAACAAGCTTACAACATATGGGGTTGATATTGGAATTTGCCCATAAGACATCCCAACTAAAGAATATATAGAAGACATGATTCGGAAGGGGCCTCTGCCACACCCAAAAGATTTCCCTAATGATTTTACCAGACAAAAAGTTCCAATGTCTGTTCTCAAAGTCAGAACATCAAATGGCAAAAGCGAGAGAAGAGGTTGGCTTGTATTCAGTCCTGGAAAACAGTCCTTGTATTGCCTGCCTTGTAGGCTTTTCTCTCATACAGTGGGCTCACAACTGCAAAGGTCACAGTCGATCATGGCATCCAAACAAGGCTGGTGTACAGAACAGAAATGGAAAAAACTGTTTGACAGGTTGCCTCAACATGAAAACACTTCAGCACACAAGAACTGTTATCTAGCATGGCGTGAGTTGGAGAGGAGGTTAGAAAGTGATACTGGGATTGATGTGATGTCTCGCAAAGAAATCATGAGTGAGACTGAGAAATTGTGAAATATACTTACGAGGATAATTGATGTAGTAATTTTTCTTGGCCAAAGAGGACTTGCTTTCCGTGGCTCATCCCAGCGAATTGGCGACATTCATAATGGGCACTTCTTGGGGATCATTGAACTCTTGGCCAATTATGATCCAGTTCTAGCCGAACATGTTGCAAAGATATGAGCTTCGGAGTCACATTTTGGATGAAATAAGAGCCGCAAAATATTATTCAATCCTGTTTGATGCAACACTGGATTCTAGCCATGTGGAGCAGACAACATTCATCATTCGTTATTTGGCCAAGTATGATACCGAATATGCAGTTCAAAAACGATTTTTAACATTTGTTGCTTGTTGTAAGAAGACAGGGACTGAATTTGCAAGCCTGATTATGGAAACACTCAAGCATTTTGGGATACCTATAATAGATTGTCGTGGACAGGATTATGATAATGCTCTCAACATGTCTGGCAAGTACAATGGTACCCAACAGCACATACTTGCTGTTAATCCACTGTGCATTTATTCTCCATGTGCTAAACTTATGTGGAGTAGATTCTACATCATGTTGCATGGAGGCAGTTTCATTTTTTGGAGTAGTGCAAACAGTTTACAATCTGTTTTCTTCCAGTCCTTAGCACTGGGCTATTCTCAAGGAGCATGTGGGTGAATCCATCCACGCTTTGTCAGGTACTTGTTGGACAGACGGAGTGACAAGTGCAAGACCATTGCAGTTCATCTTGCTGAAATACGACTCGCGCTGTCTCTCAACCTCACGCCAAAAACCATTGAAGTTAGTTGCGTCATCAAATACGTGTCATCCTTCATTTGCATCCTTATGTCATCGATGTGGCTGAAGATTCTCGTACAGATCAATAGGAAAAATCAGATCATCCAGGCAAGAGACGCTACAGTGGATGTAGAGGTCTCAAATCTAGAGTCGCTCTTGACCGATCTTGAGGATCTACATGGGAAATGACAACAGATTTTAAATGAAGCGAAACTGGTTTCTGAGAAAATCGAAATTGAACCCCCATCTCCCATCAAAATGGAAAGTTAATAAAAGAGCAAGACTTATTGTCATTGAGGAGGATGATGTCATTGAGGGGAGAATGTCCTAGAAAATTCTTGTGATGGCTCAGATGAGCCTGAATCTGAATTCAAACAGAATGTCTTCTTTGTTGTCATTAATTTGGAGTGTCAAAGCGGTTTGATGCTGCAAACACAATTAATTGATTGTTCTGCATTTTGTGGCAATATAGAAGCATGACAGAAGAGAAACTCAAACTTGCATGTGCAAGATTAGTGGACAAATACCCAGACGATCTCTCGGAATCCATGCAAGAGAAAATGGGGCACCTTAAGGCAATACATGCATCAAATTTTGGTGAAGATATGGGGCCATATCAACTTTTAAAAACAATAAAAAGGTATAAGTTAGATGGCATTTTCCCAAATGTATGTATTGCACTGCAAATATTCTGCACATTGCCAGTTACAGTAGCATCTGCTGAGAGGTCTTTCAGCAAACTAAAACTCATCAAGAGCTTCTTGAAGAGCATGATGACACAGGAGAGACTGAATGACCTAGCCGTCCTTAGTATTGAGAGCAAACTTGCGGGGAGAATTGACTTCAGTAAAATAATAAAAACATTTGCTTTAAAAAAGGCACGTAAAGCATGTTTCGTTTATTTATCACAATTCTGCATTACTGAACTCATTAAAATAATTCTTGACAATGTGTTTAAACTTTCAATAAATTATCCAATTAAATGAACAGATGTTTACATTTTTTTTTTTTTCTCAAAATGATATTGTTGATTGTTAAAGGCCTTTATCCATGGAAAATTTTACAAAGGAAATCGGCACTTTAAGCCGTAACATAGTAGAATTAACACTTAAAATATTGCTAAAATTACTAAAAGTCTAGAGCTTCACTCTAGGTCTCCCATCAGGGGCTCAGCTGCTGGAGGCCCGGGGTGACCCCAGCCCTGGGGCCTGCCACCTCTCTTGATGGCCCTGTACATGAAGGAGGAAAGGTTTTAAGCCACTGACTTTCTGCATACCTATGCTAAATTATGTATATAAGGCTTGCTTGTCTCAAATTAAAACATTTTTGTTGAATAGGTCGTGATGGGTTCAAGTAAGTCAAGCTTATTGGTAATGCCTCCTGAAGTTCGTGAACTCCATATAGCTGTCATGAGAAATGATGTAGCAGCAGTTCAGAGTTTGACAGATAAAAATGTTGATGTGAATTACCCTTGGCAAAGTGCTGAACTACCTAGCATTAAAGATGGAAGTACACCCCTCTGTGAAGCTGTGTCTTTGAACCACAGATTAATAATAGAGGTACAGTACTATATTTGTGTTTGCTTACTTTCAGATACTAATTTTATTTATTCTAGGCCCTTGCAAAGTAACTTCTAGATTCTTTAATATTTATTTTTTCAATTTCAAAAACAACATGAGACATTTTTGTAACATACAGTTCAAAGTAAGTAGACTTAACATCTGAAATACTAAAAACCTGTTTTTGTTGAATTGTTTTCATGCTGTCAACAACTATGTGACTTCAAATTCTGCATGTGGTTGATGCATTGCAAAACACGCATCAACATTCTCCCACCTTCCACATGACCTGTAGTGCTAGAAGAATGCCCTGCTTTCTCACCATAAACCAGATTTTTTTTTTGTTGACAGTCATACTGTTACTTTTGTTCAAAGCATGTTTTATTATCTTGATGGCTGGCGCGTGCACAAATTTTTTTAAACTTCATTTATATTTTTTTCTCTTTAGCTTTGGGATTCTGTTTACATTCTGTTATGATTTTTCAAGCCTGATGGAATCCTTAAGCAGGTAAGTTATTTTATAATACCTACTTTTTTTTATCATTTGGGCCCTATGTTGTGTGCAGCAACAAAAAAAAAAAAACCTCTTCTTATAATATGGGACTGTTTAAGGACGAATATATTATGTACTCATGACTGCAACCAAACATAGTTATCTTATGGGGAGAAAACATTGCAGATGCATCAGAACATATATAAGCCTAAGTCACATGAAAGGTGAAAGAGAGAGCAGAGTTGTTGGTAAGTTACACAAATGTTGACAGAATGAAAGCAACTTGCAAGAAAAGGATTTTAGTATTTTGTAGGTTTGAAATTCATTTTATCTTTAATAAGAAAATCATGCAGCAATCTTTGTTGTTAACACATTTCTTTTTATATATTTTGTAAAATTATAGCCTTTTGAAATTGTATACCAGAATATTATGTTGTAAGTAAATACTTCTTTTTTGATGAAAATAAAATGCAGTTAAATTTAAATTTATGTTTCTTAGGTTGGTATTTCAAGATAACTTTTGAGGCTTCACAAGTTTACAGACATAACAACTGAGTGACTTGCATATTTTGTAATGTATAATTAAAAATATTATCATTCTTGTTATTTAACCACAATTAGTTGGAGTGTGAACTTACATAGAACTTTTAAAGTTTCAGCTCAATCATAGGTATATGAAAAAAATTATCAAACACTGGTGATGTGATGGCAGCGGTCAAGTATGGTCAAGAGTTTAGCATGTTTAGTTGGGGGTGGGTGGGTGTTGACAAACTGCTTTCCTCTAGTCTATCACTTCAAAAATAGGGATGGCTAGCTGGTGAGGTAGCTCTCTCATAGGTTTGCAAAAATGGGATAAAACAAACAAACATTCTGGCAGGGTGTCTGTATAGATATTAACAAATGAACTTTTTTGCAATTTAAAAAAAGCTGTAATTGTATCAGAAGAGTAAAAATACTAAACATTAAGTTATAAAGTCACAGAGCTCATCCCCCCCCCCCAAAAAAAAGAATACATACTACTGTTTTCTTTGTTTCAGCTTTGTTTTTCTAGTAAATTTCTGGAAATCAGAAAAAAAAAATACACCAACTTTAATACTTACAGTAAGAATCTTACTGTTATTATTTTTGAAGTTTATGTAAACACTAAGGATAGTAAAATTTTCTAATTTTGAAAAATATATAGTGATGTATATAACACATTTTTAACTATAATTACATATATGGATTATGATTCCATTTTAACATGAAGTGATATAATTAACAGTATGTATATATTTTTTGTAGTTCATGAGGTACATGAGAATGTTGTACATGCACGCTTGTGTATCTGATGAGAAAACTAAATAATGCTCAAGCAGAATGGTGATTTTCTTAATGATGTAAGAATAATAGACCTATAGATTATTTATATTTTGGCTTACATTCCTTGCCCTGAGTGCTTTTTTTCATGTTTCAGAATCTTTATCTAATTTCAGCATTTTGTTTTTACCATGATTTCAAAGTAATGATCAAAGAAGTGCATGTACTTAAGCATAAGTTTTAATTTTTAGTCATTTATTCCATCTTTTAGGTTCTCTTGCAAGCAGGAGCAGAAGTTAATAAACCAGACAGCTTTGGATGCACACCCCTTCATAAGGCAGCCTATCATGGCAGAGCTTTCCTAACAGAAATGTTAATAGCTTCAAGTATGTATTTAAACTTTGGCTTAATTTGATTTTTTTACTAGAATCTCTCTCTCTCTCTATATATATATATATATAGTTCAAAGTAACCACATAGCAATTTTTGTCAAACTGGACAACCAATTGGTCTCAAATTGAAGAGGCTATTAGTTATATTCCTTCTCTATATGAAAATTCTCTAACTCTTCTCAACAGAAAAAGGCAGGTGCTTTCTCTCAAACATGTGCGCACACTCCCTCAACTAAATAAGCTTGCTTCAGCCATATCTTTTGTTTTGCTTGCATGTACTTGCAAGAATCAGCTATATGATGACTTTACAAAATGTTTGGTATTGATAAATTTTCATTTATATTGTGTTGCAACAAGAAGAGTGTTATGATATAAAAGACTGTTTAGTTTAGGTATTATTGATTAATTTATTTTTTTGAGTGAATATTTTATTGTTGTTTAGTTTTTGTTATAATAAGAGTTAAAAGCAGACAGATAATAGCAGAAAAAAAGAGTACAGTTACAGGGCAAGGAAAAATTTGGTGTGAAGTTAACTACCATACAAGTGATAGACCTAACATTTAATATGTTAGAGTAAGACTAACAGTAGGAGAGGAGATAAGAAAAATAATTTATTCTGTGAAAGTGTGGTTCTAAAGTAATTAAATCGGCGCAAGTGCACTTTGACAAAGGGAACAGAGGATATTTAGAAGAAAGAAGACCAAATGATTACAGTGACTTGCACCATAATTGTAAGTGAATCACAGAGAATACTAGTGCAATAGTAATAGAGAAGATAGTTCAGCTAATTTGTTTTGGTGGTTGCGAGATTGGTCAAATCTACCAAACCCGTACAGAGATTAATTACTGAAAATAACAGATAAAATATAAATTTTCTTAAACATTTGATAACTATCTGGACATTATAAAGATTTTGCAGGTGAAATCTGAAAATTTTCTGATGCATAAAGTATTTTTAATCTGAAAATAAAAATTACTTTGCATGATAGATAGGCAATGTGTGAAAAGAAAAAAGGCATGAGAAAAACATTGCTTTACAAATCTTAAGACTTAATAAAAAAAAAGTTGTATATTATGTGTATGAAAGCATTGAAATATTTACTGATAATCTTCCAAATTTCATTAAGGTTCACTTACTTATTTAAAAGTTATAGCATGAAAACTATAACAAGTACAAAATGTTAGGAGGTTGGTCCCAGGGACTGAGATCATGCTGAAGGAGTTAAGCTTAAAGTATTAGGTGTACGTATATCTGTAACATAAATATAAATGTAATTGGTGACAATACAAATCTGGTTGCATACGGTGAGTGAAGGACAGTACAATGTTCATGAAATCTAAAATTACAAATTGTTGATCCTTCTTTTCACTTGTATATAAGCCACCCCAACAAAACAAGAAATTTTAACTCTGTAAAAAAAAAAGTATGAAGTAATAAGTGCATATAATATTGCTGATTCAGTCAGAATTGGGGAAACAGTATCTTGTATTTCATGAAACTGGGATAATATGTTTTCTGGCAGCCTGGGATAATAAAAGTCACCATAAGAGAAGTAAAACATAATGATGGTAAGCAGCTTATTTTCTGTGTGTGTGCATGTAAAATAATAATTTAAGTTATTTATGGTTTAGATAAAACCCTAAAAGAATAAGCAAAAGAATGAACTTAAATTTGTTATTTTAAATAGAAAACCATAAATCCTTAAATATATACTTTTAGTTAAAGTGCACGCTAGGAAAACAAATGTAACACACAATATTAAATTCAAATGAATAAAAAATACTAATGTTTATACTGTCCCATATCTGGCAAACAAAAAAGATACTTCAAACAAATAATAGTGTCTGTTAGAACATTGGCTGTAAACCATACATACAACATGGCTGCAAGATGTGACACACAGTATCAGAAATTTGATAATCATGTGCACATAATGTGGTCCTGCCACATGAAGAAGTTAATGTTATTAGTTTACAAAATTTGCTGTAACAGTTGTAATGTTACATGAAACACAGAAATACAGTAAAAATAAACTTTAATAACTTCTGAAAGAGACTGATTGAACCAAGAAGTGAAAAAGCATTTTCAAATATTTAAAATGCATTTTCAACTGTCTTGTCAGATATAAGCTGAAATGACATAATAAATTGTCAGAGTGGTATTTTGAATGTAATTTATTAGATTTGGTGTGTGTGTTCTTTAAGCAGAGAACTATTTAGTGTAAATCTTGCATATTCCTTGGCATAGCTAAGGCAAACAAATTTATTTACTAAATCTTTTTTTTTAGTTTTAGGAACAGTATTGTTGAGTTAGAAATCCTTAATTTAAAATGCTGGCTTATATAATATATTAGGTATAAGACATACTAGTCATACAACTTTGTAAGCTCAGTCATGTGTAATTATGTTTGTGTAAAATCAAATTATCTTGTACTTAATTCCCTGTAAATTTAAATTTGAAATTGTGTTACTGCATGAGATGATACCTCCAAATGTTGTTCAAAATATGTTCAAACAGTTTTGCATGAGAAAAAATGCTTACAATTTTCTTATTGTGAATTGATTCAATCAATTTCTGTTTCTAGATGGCAATTTGTATAGTTTTTCTGTGAAAAACAAAGCTATTACTTGCAACTGTGTGCATTAATTATTAAACCTTGACTTTCAATGCTTTTGTAAATAAACTTTTTGTCAACAATGGAAGTCAAGCTAATAGCCTTTTAATTTCTCAAGTATTTTTCCTCTTCTCTTTATAGATAAGAATCCTGTTAAGAATCATCCATTCATTAAGAATTTTCCAAGCAGCTTTTGTAAATATAAAAGGATTAAAGCTTATACCATCTATCTATCCAATGTTTTTAGTATTTTCAAATAAATTATTTGAGGCCTTACTTACCTGGAGTTGGAGTTTCTAAAATAATTTTTTTTTATTCAGCAGTGGCATTTAAGAAAAGTTTTTATACCTCCTTAAATGGATCAATCATACAAAGTACTATAAGTAGTTGTATTCTTGCAAGAAACTAATAGAAGACAAAGATTTGGTATTCTCAGAGGTGTGGGAGAATATCATAATTTTCTGGTAAAAGGTATGCTCATGAAAGCTGTTCAGTCAAATTGTTTTTCTTTACTTCACCATAATAATGTAACTCTCCAACTGCATAGCATTATCTTTTTGTTTGAGTTCTAAGCATAATTATTTTTTCAATATTTAGTGTGATAAACCCAGGGCTCATTATCAAGTCTTTATTTATTTCAGGTATGTGAGGAGTTTGTTTTAAACTTTTTTTTTTTATAGCACTAGCACATGAAGTTGAGGTTTTTCCTTCAGATATAAAAGTTTTTCACATGTCTGAAAGACAGAATTTTTAAAATTTTGTTTTTGGTCAGCACTTAATTTTGGGCAGTTCCATTTATTTTATTAGGTATGTGTGTGAATTCTTCAGTTAGTTTTACATTGATAGTGAATTTTTTTATTGATATTTTCTGTTCATTACATTTTAAAGTTGTCATGCCTATTTCAGTTGTGATATGGAAACTATAAATTATTTTATGATGATATATTTTGTTAAGCAAATTCAGTTGTCGATATTACTGAGAAACATTTTTGATTCTTGGCAATCCTTCAGCATTCTTGTTTGCTGTATGAAAGGCTCCATAGATAGTATAAAGGTTTCTAATTTTGGATGAATAAACACTTCTGAATTTTCCTCATTAGATGCAGATGTCCACCTGAAAGACCACAACGTGAATACACCGTTACACATTTGTGTTCAAAATGCCTTAGTTCATAATAACACTGATACAGTGCGAGCACTGTTGAGGGCAAAAGCTGAGGTTAACAATCCCAATCGGTATGGAAAAATTGCTCTTCACTATGCTGCATTATGGGGGTTAGGAGAAATTACAGAAGTTTTAATCAAGGTAAATTGTTTGTTTTTGTATTTTTTACATTAGAACCACACACGTAAAGTTTCCAACTTTTTTCACCTGTCTAACCATTTGTGTGTAATTATGTCATACATAGAAACTAAACTTTGGTGTTAAGTAATGAGTGTTATATGTAGCTGTTTTTCATTGGTATGATCTAGTGTATCTTATTATGTACAATTTTTCCTAATCTGTGAGAAAGTAATAGACCATATAAATGGAAGTCTGTAGGGCCAAGAAAGATAAATCTTTTAAACTTTTACATTGTTGGATAGATATTTAAAGAATTTTATTTTATAGTTGGCGTATGCTTTACTAGATGTATACCTAAAAGTCCTGTATGTAAAATTCCATCGGAGTGTTAAACTATGACTTCAAATAAGACAACATGTTCCATAAATAAAAAACAAACAAACTTGAAATTGGGGTAATTTGTTTTTAATTCAAACCTATATTTCAGGAAAGAGTACTTTTCTTGCAATAAGTACAAAACTTAAATTGCATAATTAAGCAAAAATGCTGTCTCTTGCTTAAATTTATACAAAAAGTAAGGGCTTTAAGATTAAGTGGCATCTATTTTTATAGGTTCATTGAAAAGTTAAATATATGGAAAAAAATTAAGAAATACAACCTCATGTGTCTTAGAACCTATTGCAATGGTTTGACATGTGCATAAAATGAAAATATAGGAAGAATGTCCGGGAATCAGTTGTAACACTCTCATAGAAGCACCCAATATAATTGTGAGGAGAAAGAAGCTACTTAGACATTTTAATACGTACATCCATTGTATATAGATATGGGGAGTGTGTGTTTGGAATATACTGTAGGATTTTGTTACACACATCTAATACCAGTGTGAGGAAAATATCCTGCATGCTACTGTAATATTTTAATATGATACATTAAATTTAAATGGGGGAAGATTATGTCCTGGAATCTGCTATGAGAGTTTAGTACATACATTAATTATGAGGAGTGTTGTAGAAATTATGTAACATTTTAATATATGCATTGAATTCAAATGTGAGAAAATAACACTTAGGAAGAACATCATATATGAATTCAATATTTGTATGTCAAATTGTAGCAAAATAGTTTTAAAGACATTACAATTTTTAGAAAAAAGATTATTGTAGATGTTAATATAACTATTTTATTCTGAATCTTCTGATATTTACACAACTTTAATATTTCATTATTTGAAAAACAATAAAGTTAAGATATAAAAGCTTGTAAAAGAAAAAAAAAGAAAAAGGTTAATGTAAAGCCCAATCTATCACTTAATTTACCACTTGTCATTGAGTATTTGTGAAATTCTCCCTCACCATTAACTCTGAACAAGGACAAATAAAAAAAAAGAAAAAGAAGACAAGGCTTCATATAGTGTTACAGCGTATTCTATGTGTATGGTGCTTTGGGATTTCTTTTACTGATATAGTGATATTTTTATATACATACAATCAACATTTAAATTGCTCTTCTGTCTTCTTAACTCTTTCAGCACAGGTTCGGTTCAACTTCATAACCACTTTATGCGTGTTATAGTTTTCATGCTATAACTTTTAAATTAGTAAGCAAATGTTAATGAAATTTGGCAGATTATTAGTAAACATTACAATGCTTTCATATGCAAAATATAATTTTTTTTATTTTTTTATTAAGTCTTAAAGTTTATAGAGTAATGGTTTTCACATGTTGCCTATCTATCATGCAAAGTAATATTCATTTTAAGATTAAAAATACTTTTATGCATCAGAAAATTTTGAAATTTCACATGTGAAATCTTTATAACGTCCAGAAAGTTATCAAACGTATCTAAACAAAATTTGTATTTTGTTATTTTCAGTAATTAATCTCTGTACGGGTTTGGTAGATTTGACTGATCTCACAACCACCATAAAAAAAAATTAGGAAATAAATATAAATTATGCCTTTT